AGCAAAGTAAATTATACAACAAGCCTCTGTTTGGCTATTGAGTTGTGTTTGAATGAAATCCAAAACCATGGCATAGAGGTTTGTTTGAAAATTCTTTATTCTTTTCTGGGTATCTATCTGTCTTGTATATGCAATGCACCTATAGATACCATATATAAACCTTTGTTTATCATAATTCCATAAACATCCAAGCTTTCATTTGGGCAAATCATTAAACACCTGTGTGGTTTGAGGTGTCTTGTATTAAGGCTAAGGGTACAAATAAAGGGTAGACATAAAGGGGCATTCTTTAGCTTTAGATGAAAAAATTAGCACAAATGGACATCTCTACTATATTTCCACTTGTAAAAGCATGTGGCCACGATTGAGCTTTAAGACAAACACAAACAGATTGTGGAATCCAACAATCCAATAATCCAAGCATCATAGTTGAACCAGGAGGTAGAACAAGATTTTGATTAGAAAACACAAACAGGCGAAAGTTGCTCCAAGAATCCAAGCGTCATAGTTGATGTTCTCAGCCATATTTAGTCAACTTAAATCCAAACTAATTAGAAAACATATGATACGAGCATGATAGGAGCAGATTGTGGAACTCAAACACTCATATGATAACTATTTTAAAAACCCAAATCCACGTGTGTGTGTGTGTGTGTATGTATACATACATATATATATATGTGTGTGTGTGTATGTGTGTGTGAAGCAGAAGGGTGAACAAGATTTTGAAATCAATCAAATTGGGTTTAAAACTGGGAGATCAACATACCTTTTGGAGATACTGATTTGCAGAGGTCGTTTTGCAGAGATTGATTTAGATAGATCGATAGCTTGGGACCGAGCGAGAGATCGATATGGTGTCCAGATCGTATGATTTGGATAGATCGGTAGCTTGAGACCTAGCGAGAGATCGATAAGGTGTCCAGATCGTATGATTTGGATAGAACGGTGTATGGTGTCCAGATCGGTATGATTGGGTAGATGGAGATCAAGCGAGAGAGCGAGAGATAGATATGGTCTCCTCGTATGTGAATAAGAGCCCATTAAGGGTTTAGACTACCACTTAAAATTCAGAGTACGATAAGAGCTTTTCAGCTCTTATTTAGAAAAAATCGAACGGTCTGAAAACAAAAACGTCAGACTGATTCAGACTTAAGAGGTATAACCCTTAGGGTTTTTTTTTTCAAAAAACAAACAAGCCTTTAGTTTCTTATTAGTTCGATTCTTGTCACTTACATCATTCAAGTGCAAGTGGTTGAGTACTCTCACATGGTAGAACGTTATAGACTATTCTTATTAATAGAACGTTAATTTTATAAATTTATTGTAACACATTTATACAAGACATACATTTGTTTGGTATAACTGAATGATTTATGAGACCAAATAATTGTACATCCTATTAATAAAATACATATATTTGTTTGGTAAAAAATAGATTTAAAATAGTTCATTGTTTCTCCTATAATAAATATAAAATTTTGGTCTCTAATGAAGAAAAAAGAATTAAAATACTCTTATGGGAGAAATACTCAACGGCTTGCACTTAAACGATGTTAATGACAGTAATCAAACCCATAAAAAACCAAAACTATATTGACCAAAAATAATAATAAAAACAAAAAAAAAAACTAGTTGTATTAGAAATATTATAATTATTTTATCATAGACAATAACAAAACAATATAAATTTGTATCTTTAAACTTTTTTATCAAGAAAAATATATAGTTTTATTAAATCAAAAAGACAAAAATACCAAAAATGAAACCAAAAAAGAAAACTTAATCAAAAAGACTAAAATACCCCTAAGTTAATGAAGGAGTTTTAACATATTTATTTAGAATTTTGTTTGATTCAAACGTAGCCAGTATTGAATTAGCCGATTAAAGATCAGTTAGAATATCCTTAGAAGGATGAGATTCAATCTTATATTATTTCAGTTATCTTTAAAAAAGTTATAACACCTGTTCAATTAAACCCAAGATTATTTGATGATTTTTATTGGTATTAATTTGCATGATCCAACAACAAGTACATGTATGAGTTAGGTTCACATTCACATTCACACACCAAAATGTGAAAGATGTGTGTATTACGTCAAAGTTTGAAAAAAAGAAGAGAAGATATTGAGAACATGGAAGAAGGAATGTGAATCCAACAAGAGGAGGCCCATTTTCATTATTACATGTATCAAATAACAAATATCAATCAATGGTTTGACTAGGAAGTCAAATCTCATAATTCAAATGCAAAATCAAAAGTTGTTACCAAATTAGATTTAGAATTTTCTTTTTATTTTTATTTTTATTTTGGAATTAAAATCATGGATTTATAGATCACACGGGGTCGTACGTATTTCATAAGATATAATATTATCAATAATATTTTAAAAATATTTGTTTAATAGTATATATATATATATATATATATATATACTATATTATAAAACATTTGACAAAAACTCTTAAAAAAAATTATGCATAAAGTATTGTTTATTGATGCATATTACTTAAAATTTAAGATTACAAGTAAATTGTGCATAAGTACAACTTATTAAAGCWCCATACTTGAATTCGTCTAACTAACTGTAGATAAATATAATCAAATATTAGATAAACATCTCATTTTAAATATAAAAAATCTAAAATATAATTAGAATAATCATTGATAACTAACAGAATACTTAGTTATTATCTTTATAAAAAAATATTATTAAACCTAAATTAAATTATAATTAAAAAATTAATTAAAGAAATTACATCAAAACACAAAAACTTTTAAAAAGATTAATTTAATACTGATATAGATATATTTTTTTAAAATTTTATGATATTTTTAAATTTATATCTTATTCAAAAATAAAAACATTATCACTTTCTCAAAATCACATAAAACCAATGTTTACTTAAAATTCAAGATTACAAGTAAGTTATGCAAAAGTATAACTTATTAAAGCTCGATGTTTGAATTCGTATAACTAGCAACAGATAAACATAATAAAATAGAGGATAAACATCTCATTTTAAAATATAAAAAATCTAAAATATAATTAGAATAATTATCGAGTTCTAACAAAATAAATAATTATTATCTTTATAAAAAAAATTATATTATTAAACCAAATATAAGTTACTTCGTTATTGTACCTAAATTAAATTATAAAAAAATTGATTTAAAAAGTTACACACAAAAATATGGAATTTTAAATAGTTAATTTGATACTAATATCCATATATTTTTTGTCAAAATTTTATGATATCTTCAAACTTATATTTTATTCAAAAATAAAAATATTATCGCTTTCTCAAAATCATATAAGACCATGTTATAATATCAACTGAGATAAAGAATAAAATAAAATATTAAAATTAAGATGTATCTCACTACATTGCGCGAGTACCCTTCTAGTATATATATATGGTTAAGTAATTGTGAATTATTGATCAAAGAATTAGAGGGACGAAACAACTATTGATGAATCACATCAAATAAACGAATTCAACCACAAAATAGGAAACAATATTCCCATGTCATCATTTTATATTTACATTTTTTAATGTTTTTCTTATTAGGCCTCCCTCTCCCACCTATTTGCTAAACTTAATGTCTTTTAAAACTATATTCGATTTCTAATACACATAGATATTGTAATACAAGAATAATTCGTTATGGAGTCAAGACTTGGGTTCATCGTCGCGTTAACCTTTATGGCTTCACTCTAAGGCTTGGCTTGCACTGTAACGTGTTATGACACGTTATGGCATGATACGAGGCCTTCTTTTGTAAGGTGTAGAGCTAATTTAATGTATAATTTGAGCGATAAATAATCATTATGTATGAGACACAGGACTTAAATAAACTTAAAAATGAAACTTAAAAACTAAAATGTTAAATAAATAAATATTTACGCACGTTCCCGTACAAGAAAAGTCAAACATGAATTCTTTGAAAATTGAGAAAAAAACATTTAGTAGAGATTCAAGAGATTTAATCTCGATTTTACACTTTTGGTATCATTTTCCATAAGCTCTATATATTTCATATCAATGATTTTTCTTTCTTATAAAATTTATTACTTTATATGAATTTAATTTGTTCGAAAGTATTATTCAAAACACTAATACATACAAGGGCGTGTGTGTATGTATATGTGTGTGTGCCGCCTTAGGGCAGACCTTGAAAAAAGCAGCTATTGACCTCGTCATCATGTCACGCCTCACGTCATTTAGAACCTTAAATATAAGTTGTTGAAGTTATTTTTTTAGGCATATGAAATCCATATCAAACTAAAGCAATTAATATGAATATCGATTGCATTAATTAAATTGATACCAACTAAATTTAGTTGTTAGTTCGTAACAAGTACATATGCTTGGTTGGTACGTAGTTTTAGAAATCATATATTACAACACTTGTATACCATAGCAACTTTTATACATTTAAATAGGGAAAATTGTATCAAAATAGAAACAACTTTGTCCTAATTTCTAATTTAGAGAAGTAACTTCTAAAATCGTCATTTAAGAGTCTAGAGAAAAAGTTTACTTTTATTTAAGGGTTTAATTAAACTGTAGAGTAGGTAACCAATCACCTTAACATGACGTGGCAAATGATGAATTAAGAAAACGTTACGTTTAGTATTAGGATGCCATATGTCGGCTACAGAGCGACCACACCCCAATGTCGATGTTCTTCTCCTTTTCTATCGCTATAAATCGAAACCAAAACCTTAGCATCAATGTCCTAATCGTTATAAATCAAGAGCGAAACCCCATCGTCCACGTTCTTCTCCTACTCCCATGGTTGTAGATCAAATTTGATTTAAACTTTTAAGGTTTTGATTTTCATAATTTTGAGAAAATGTCCATATATTTGTTTTTTATTGTCAAATGACGTCACCGTTTGAAAATTTTACCCTATATTTATTTGTATAATCAAATGGTGTCACCGTTTCTGGGTCCTGCCTTCTGCTCACCCCAAATATTTTTGAGTCAATATTGAAATAAATCTCATTGCAATTGATAGACCGACTATACTCGTTTAGTAGTACTTCTATATAAAAAAACAAGCATTGCATTTGCAGGCAGTCCATAGGTACCGAATTCGATTACAATCATCCATAAATCCTGGTAAACTATCATGGTCTAAGCATATAGACAATGAGATCACTTGACAGGCAGAAATTACCATGAGCTTGCTTAGTATCGGTCATTTCCATAACCACCACCGCCACCAGAAAAACCACCTGTACGGGGTGCACGTTCGGTGGCTAAACTAACACGAATTGAGCGCCCGTTCAGTTCCTAAACAACAAAACAAGTAAAATATCAGCATTATGAAATGATGAAACAAACCATGGTTGATGGTTAAGAGTTTAATTTCAAACCTGTCCATCCATAGCTGTCATAGCCTCTTTTGCACTGTCATCGCTAGTGTAGTTCACAAACCCAAATCCTCTGGACCTTCCAGATTCCCGGTCGGTGATCACTCTTGCTGGAACATCAAAACCCCACAAAGATGTTAAATGATGCATGATAATTGACAATCACCAATACCAAGATACCAATAGATCTATGAAAATATGTGGAACCATGCTGAATCTCTCTCCAAGCAAGAACTTGAGAAAAGAAATGGTCCAAATCTAGCCAATGTGAGACTCTGACATGCCCCTCCAACGAAGGCTAAATGGGCACATATAGTGCCAGTGTTGAAAGGGGGCTAGATGAGTGCAGATTTCCCCAGAGTGTCGAGTCCTTAGAGTATTAAACCTTGGCTCTAATACCATGTAAGAATATGTGAAACCCCATTAGATTACTCTCCAAAAGAATTTGAGGAGAAAAGGGATGCTCCAACATATATAGATAAGAAATGGTCAAGTCTAACCGATGGTGGGACTGCAATAAGATCAAAGAGATGGGATTTTGATCAATAAGCCTAATAAGTTTATACTCTAGATGCATGCAGTATCGCTCACATTCACAAAATCAGTTTATATGGAGAGAACCTGTCAACTGGCCAAGCAAATTCGGACTCTCAGTGTTGAAAATATTAAAGATAAATCAATACCACTCCCCAAAGGGGAAAATGCATTCACTATTACAAATGATTCAAGAATACTTCATTTGCTGGTTCTTCCATGTTTTCTGATTATAGCCGGTCCATTTTCAAAGTACACATGCGACACACTTGGATTCCATATATAAAGATAATGTACAGGTTACCTTCAACTACATCCCCAAAGCCGGAAAATGCTTCCTTTAAGGAGTGGTCATCAGTTTGATAAGAAAGACCTGCGGATTCACATATAATTATGGCTCATATAAACAGAAACAGAAGGGGCGGCGAAGTTACTCAAAGAACATACCACCAACAAAGAGCTTCGAAGACATGCAGCGAAAAGCATTAAACATAGAAGGTCCTTTCGCATTCCCGTTGGATACAGTGGTCTGGGAGATAGATTGCCTCATGAGGCTTCCAATTCTGTTGTAGAAAGCCATTTCAGTTGTTCAAGTTCAAAGAACCTGCATTTACATACTCCATCCATGAGTAAGAGAGTTGGTTTATTTCAAGCAAAACAAGCATAATAAAGAACCTGCTATAAAGCTATAAACCTAGAAGACATCTACCATGCTCAAATGAAAGAGCATCAAACAAGCTACAACCTCCCAAATGCTTATATCTCTATTCCACAAACTAAAATGGTAAAACCCTATTCTATAAAAATGTTATGCAACTCTGATACATTTTTCAGCTGTACCTTAAATGAAGCACAAGAACACCCATGCATTCTTCAACAAGAAATGACCCAAGATAACGTTAGAATTTATCCTAATGGGTAAGACACTCAACTTAAAACCTTGAATCTCAAATTTCAAGTACTACCAAGTGAATTACCATATCAACAATTGACAGTTTCTAGGCCTTAAAAACACATAGAATGTCCCACTCTACCTATTCTTATCGTGTTTTTGAACGGCAAGCAAGCATGTACACATGGCAATAAAACTTTGCAAACAACACAGAGAAACTAGACTGACAGCCAGAGACAGCACCAAACCCGATTAACACAGAGGAATCGAAATACTCATAGAAGCTATAAAATCGAATTAGAAAAATGAAGAGAGACCAAAGATTATGACGAAATGTACCAAGATCGCCTTTGAAACACTCTGTATAAACAGAACATAAAACGTTTAACATAAACACATGCGAATGATCTTTAATTAAAAAAATACACGCCTGTCTGCAAGATCTCTATATAATTTCTTATGCAATTACAAATTACCGATTGGCAGACATAAAACATATACGCAAATCGGAATCAAATCAAATCAAAAAACTGTGATCTAATAACTAAAGAAAGATATAATCTATAACGACAAAGAGATCCAACATACCTGTATGAGAAAAAAAAGAAGTGAAATTGAATAATTTAGGGTTTAAGGAAAAAAGAAATCCGGGTACCGCGGCTAGGGTTTATGAGATTTACCAAAAGAAAGTGGCTCGCAGCAATTTCTCAGATTTGTAGACTGGCCAGTGATGTGGCATTGTCACTGATGATGTGTGTTTTAAGAGGGCAGCAGTGGGCCAATTTGAGCTTGTAGACTGACCACGCCAGTTGGGATTGCTGGGCTCATTTGTTTTGGGCTTATTGTAACATCGGGAAATTAAAATTAATAAACAATAATGAGACGTTTTGGTTCGTATAATGATTTTGGATGAAATAAAATTTATTAAAGAAATTTTACTTTAAAGAAATTTGAATAAAATGTTGTCAGGTTTGACCATCTAGAGATAAGGGTTGACCTTACAAAGGAATAAACCCTATTATATGCCCATCTTGACTTAAGACAGAATGTGTTTGTTTGGTTCACAGAATGTAGCTTTGAAATTAGAATGAAATATTGGTAAATGATCAAAATGTCCCTTTTTGAAATATTTGTTTTTTAACCAAAAATACTTTAATAAAATAATTATTTAATATGTAAAACAATATAAAATACACAACCTAAATATAACCATAAGCCAAACGATATTACAAAATCAATGGTGGTTGACGATGGTTCAGATCGGTGGTGGTCCATGGTGGTTCAGATGGCGATAGTCGGCAGCGGTTCAGATCGATGGTGGTCTGTGGTGGTTGTGGTCAGCGGTGGTTCAGATGGACGGTGGTTGAGATCGGCAGTGGTTCGGATTAGTGGTTGTTCAAATGGTTGGTGTTCGGTGGTGTCCGACAGTGATTCAGATTGGTGGTAGTCACCAGTGGTCGACTGTTGTAACACCCTCATTTTCATCATGAGTTGTGTCACGTCATTCTCATTAAATAACAATAAATAACCCCAAAATATAGTGGCTAATAAAGCCTTATTACAGCGGAAGTCTTACAAATTCAATTAAAATTAATAGCTCAACACTAACCCGTCCCATACCGGGTTACATTACAAAATGAGTTTAAGCATAAACCTAAACATCTGAWATATAATAATATAATTATCTAGAAGAGAACCTCGCTCTTGTCCACCCTTGAACCTCTTCCACCTGAGATGCATACTAATAGTCAGCTTTACAAAGCTCGGTGAGTTCATGGTTTTTGTGCACAATCATACACACCTCATCATGCATAAAACAAACAATACCCCAAATAAAATAACATGCACATTTGTTTCAAACYCTTTTGAAATAATAATGAGATCTCTTAATTTCCCGTCGAGTAAAGGTCTTACCGTCATCGGCACTTCCCCGGGTTACACGGCTATCCCTTGTCCGGTCACCCATCCCTAGGATGTGCCATCYCTATGGCTTTTGACYCCTTTCCATACCCGACAAAAATATTAACCYGTTTATAACATGCTAATTAATGTTTAAAAACATGTAGCCAAATAGCATGCAACCCACAATAATAATTCATATACATGTAATAAACCCATAAACATGTATATAGAAAATATCGTAATGCTCAAATAATTTGTACATAAGTATGCATCCCAGTTAAAGTCTCATGAAAACTCACCTTAATAGCTCCGCTTAGCTAAACCTCGTCCCTGAGTAATATCCTATAACACGTAATTGTATTTTAATATTAGAGTATTGATTTTTCCCCAAAAAGTCAACCCAAAAATCAAATGGGTCAACCTTAGGGTGGGCATGGTCAACGAGTCAACCCCAAACATACCTCGTCGCTATATACCCCCCTCCCCAATGGAATTTTTCATATCCAAAATAAATTACGACGTATTAAACCCAACATTTAATTATATAYGTTTCTCGTTATAAAAACGTCTAATCCCACAATTATCTAGTCAAAACTCCCGAAATAAGTTACTAAATTATTTCTTATAATTTAAAATATGAAAATCCAATTAATTAATATCCTTTACAATTGATGTCCAAATCTTGGTCAACTTAATCGAAACATCCCGATTTATTTCGATTAATCCAAATAAATAAACGAGCCCCAATCTCCTTTTAACATACCGATTTTATCAAAACAACTCGAGTCTAACCGAACTCGACCGAAATAAGTCGGCCATGGCCTAAACCTAGTCTAGTGTCGGCCGACTCAACTCAACGCCCGGCCTAACCCAGTCGCACCCTTGGTGCGGCTATCGTGAACAATCTTCRTTTGAGATATTTTTCCGATCGTTTTTCACCAAACTTTTTACAAAATCTTATACATAATAATAATCCCAACTCATTAATCTATGATTTTAGTAAGAAAGTTACAAGCTTAAACAAGAGATATATGTCGTACCTTCACTTGGTTGTGCACTAGCTTCTCAAGTCCCCACCTCTTTTGAAGCTCTATGTCGCCTGCCTTACTTCCTTGAAACATCCCTCTTTCAAGAGATGGGGGAAGAACTAGTATATATACTCCATCTTCCCCTAAGTCATTAGTTGGYATAAAAATGGAGGTAATACACATACCTTCCATATATCCCTCCATTTCCTTTCTCACTCTCCATACCATCCTTAACTTTTCCAATCACCATATGATTTTCACGCCAATCTAAAAAATAGCCAATAATTTCCCTTTTTTTTAATTAATTTTATTTATTTATTGCAATAAAATCATATTTTTCKAGTATCGACACTTTAATCCCGTATGTCGTTTACTCTTTAAATTTTAACCCTTAACATTTATTTATTTTACGAATATTAAATTTTTAGGGTGTTACAAATCTCCCCCACTAAAAAGGGATTTCGTCCCCGAAATCAATCTCCGTCGAACAATTATGGGTCCCATCTCCATTTTTTTATTCCAACATTTTTTTAAAGTCAAAGTTGTTAATTCGTCAACTAGACCTTTTCATGTTTACTTAAATGCACCATTCCTTTCCACGGTGACATTCTAGGGTCATCCCAACCCAACCAATAACTGGTCTTCATATCTTATTAGTTAGCTCTAGAGATGGCCAAATGGGCCCGGCCCGGCCCGGGACCGTCGGAGGACTGGGACCGGGACCGACAAAGGACCGGCCCGGGACCGGGACCGGTAAGGACCGGTTATGGGACCGAAAACCGGGACCGGTTAAGGTTTTTGGTAGTTTCGTGGGACCGGGACCGACCGGGACC